GGATTTATTCTTCACCTGAACATATGTATTCTTGTGCCCACGTATTCCTTCCCTGCTTCTCTCTACTGTCCCCTCTCCCCACGCTCTGGAGCCCCCCTCAACTCCTCCTTCCGCAGGGGTCTCTTGTGGGATGTGACTGACAGCAGTCATGGAGTCACACCCGTGGGTCTCAGGAAACTGAAGCATTTAGGGTTGGAATCTTGGTGACACTAGGTTCTAAAAGGCCTCCCTCTTGCGGTGCTGGGGAGAACTCACAGGAGCCAACCAAGGGAGCCCTTGGGGCTGAGAACCTCATGGTCACTTGTGAAAGGCAGGAATTTAGGGTCCAGAAATAGGAGACTCCCTTCTGAAGACAGCCCACTACCACAGAGTTTATCAAACATTTACAGAGCCCCTCCTCTGAGCTGGGCACTGGGGGGTGCCAGAAACCGTACGTTCTGGAGAAGAAAGAGAGACAAGTACAGAAGTGATGTTGCTAAAATGTAAAATGGAGTCTTTGCCAGAGAAGGGCAGTTGGGTGGGGAAGGAGACAGAGATGGCCACCTGAAGGAAACAGCTCTGAGCAAATGTTTGAAGGACAGAAGGTGTTTATGAAGGGACTTTGGTGACATGCTGCTGGGTGTGGAGAGTGGAGCCCACCTCTTCAGCAAGTGTCAGTCACAGAATGCACCACTAGTCCCGTGAGCGCTTTGCGTGAAAAAACATTCCCTGGTCAGATCTGTTTGGGAAGTACTCCTTCCTTCCCCCCTCTTCCAGAAGTTCCCAATGTGCATTATACGAAAGGCTCCAAAAAGTCCTGCAGGAAGAAACTTGATGTTGAACTTTATTTCCTAGGCTGATTTGGCTTGGCACCCTATGTGTATGTACACGTGCATGTGTCTGTGTGTAGGTGTATATATGAGAAACCCTGAGGAAATCCCATGGAGCACACGTCCCACGGGATACCTTTGGGCAGTGCTGGCCTGAGGGACAACAGTGCATTGCAAGCAGGGGCCACGGGGGTATCCCACCTGGCACTGTGGTGAACTCTTCGCTGATCTCTTTTTCAGGAAATCAGAGAGATGGTGGCTCCTGTATTAAAAAGCTTCCAAGCTGAGGTAAGACCCAAGGCCCATGGCATGGCACAGAAACATTCCCTGCTTCCCTTTCCTGTCCCCCCTGGAGTTGCCAGAGGAAGCCAGCAGCCTCTGGCAGCTTGGGAGAAACCTGCCCATCCCCACTGCAAACTCCACCCCATTCTTTCCAGATCAGCCAGTGGTGACATGATCAGAACGGGTTCTCTGTTCTGTTGGATGGGATTCTGTGTCTGGCCCCAAGAAATCTCCCTTTCCCTAGACTTTGTCCAGCCTTACAGCAGCTCTGCTATATACAGTTTCTGTGACCTTGAACAAACCACCTCACCTTCCAGGCTTGGTTTCCCATTTTTAAAATCAAGAGGTTTGAAGTCGGTGACTTTTGCTGTCCCCTGGCATTCTGCTTGGCTTTGATTCTCTAAAGTGGTCTTGCAGAGAAGTCCAAGTAGTCACCAGCCCACCCTGAAATCCTCTCTACTGACCCACCATCTGAGTATAAAACCAACCCTATTAACGTTCTCTCCTGACAACGCATTGGTCCCGATTTCCTTCGTCAGTAGCTGGGTTGTCTTCAGCCGGTTATTTCTCTGGCCTTCTGGAGCTCTGTCACGGGGCTGAACCTCCCCCACTCCTCTTGGCTTGACTTTGCGACCAGGATTCTGAAAATGTCCACTTGTCCTGCTGGCAAGGGAGGCAGGTGGGGAAGAGAATGGAGTTACGCTGAGGCAGGGTAGTGGAAGGGGAAGCCGTTTGTCAAATGTTCCATCTTCAGGGGGGCTCTTCTCAGTCTCCCTGGATTTAGGCAGGACCTGGGAAGGATTGGCCCTTCTCCGAGCTCTCCGGTGGAGATGTGTTTTAAGTCTGTCGTCCGCCAAGCGCCACATTACTTTAAATCTGTCTCTTTGGAACCGCGTAAGCGCATAAGGCAATATTAAAGTAAACAATAACTAGATTTACACAAATGTCGCTGATTTCCATATTTTTCATCCCTTCATTTTATTACTCAGTTGACTGATGTGCTTATTTATTTATAGGGCCATCCAGTATTGATTCATTTGGTTGTGAGGTGCCTGATCTGAAAGGGGATGGCGGCGGGCTGGGGCGGGAGCTGGGGGGACATACCAGAAAGACCAATATTGTTGGGAATTTGTTGTCATGGCTTTGTGTTTTTAAAAAAGAGGTTCCCATCTGCCAGGCCCTGGTCCCATGAGGGGCTCTCAGCACACAAGCCCTCTCAGGCAGCTGATCCCTCAGGGCAGCCCAGAGATAGGCACCGAGCGTCACTTTCTCAGCTGTGCCCTTGATTCGGCTGGTATGGACAGAGCTTCTCTTAGCCACTTAAAGCCTCAGTTTCCCTATGTGTTCATGGGAATAAAGACACCCCCGATCTTTTCTGTGTTGTTTAAGAACCGAGAAATAATGCAATGCCTGGCACACAGAGAGCTGCCGGGCAGTAAAGAGCAGACTCCGGAGCCAACCTGGGTTTGAACCCTGCCTCTGCCGGCTCCTCACTGTTTGACCGTAGACAAGTTCCTTAGCCTCTCTGTGACTTTGTCTTCTTATCTGTAAAACTGGGTAATAATTCTATCTCCTTCATAGGGTCATGACTGAAGAAGAGCAGCGTGCTTAGAACATTGCTTTATTTTAGTGGTCCTGGTTATTTTATTATTCCTGTTATCCATCACCTCCAGTGCCTCTGCTAGTCTTGGGCTGGAATCTACCTCTTTCCTGAGTATGTGTTCAAGGCTTTTCTCCAAAAGAGGGGGCTTGCTATCCCTGAAGGAAACAGCCGTGACTTACATCACCTTTTTTTTTTTTTTTAAGATTTTATTTATTTATTTGACAGAGAGAGCGATCACAAGTAAGCAGAGCAGCAGGCAGAGAGAGAGGGAAGCAGGCTCCCCGCCGAGAAGAGAGCCCGATGCCGGGCTTGATCCCAGGACCCTGAGATCATGACCTGAGCTGAAGGCAGAGGCTTAACCCACTGAGCCACCCAGGCGCCCCACATCACCTTTTCAATAGGAGAAAGAGTTCAGTGTTAACGTTTGGATAATGATCCAGAGAATACCCCAGTGCCACGTGGCAGAAAGCTCGTGCAAATCAGACTGAGACCGGCCTGGCCTGAATCTCAGTCCTGCTGCTTCCCTAGCTGTGTGGCTGGGGAGAGGTTCCTTAACCTCTCTGAGCTTCAGCTTTTCTCCTCTGACAAATGGAGTTAGCAGTAAGGTTTCAAAGAATGAAGGGTAGAGGCAGTTGACACAGTGTCTGGTATTCAGTAACTCACTGAGAGAGAGAAAGTTTTAGTGGGTCGGAAAGGGAAGACGAAGCTGAATTCTCATTTCCAAAACTATGTGGCATGTTGAATTTGCACTGTTTTAATAGCTGAGGATCTCCAAATAACTTCGTTAATTTTCTTAAGAGGGCTTTTCATCGTCCCTTTAATGTACCAAAAAGACTACATTTGTCTGGAGTTTTATTCCTGAAACCCCTGCTTTCCTGATGATCTATTGACTAATCCGTCGCAGCTGCTAGGTCCCTCCCCGTGCCTCAGGGGAGAAACGGCGCCAAAGAAAGGTGTTAATAAAAAGCATCTTCTTCGTCCAGAACAAACTGCTCACGCACAAGCCGTTTATAATCCAAATTTGATTTTCATTTTAATTTTTTTAATGAGGGTTCATCCTTTATGCCGCTTCCCTCTCGCGATCCACCAGGCTCCAGGCTCAGAGCTGAGGATTCCCAAGTGGACATTAATCACCTCCCAGGAATATTCCCTGAGGCAAACACCATCTCAAGTCACATAAAGTAGCCCATAAAACGCCAGGGCTGAATATCATACCCGTCATTCCTTCTTCCCCAGTGTGAGCCTCTTGTTGAAATATAACATGTTCAAGTTCATTCCTTAATTTCACTTCACCGGTCGTGGCGTATAAAGAATCTGGGCATCCTCTTTATCTCTTCATTCTGTACGTGTGTGGCCTTTTTTTTCTTTCTCGTGTGTATGTGTGTGCGTGTGCGTGTGTGTGTCGCGCACTCACGCTGGCGGGAGGGGTGTGGAGAGGAAGTGAATTTGCCCTGCTGTGAATCAAGGAAGGTTTTTCTCTCTGCCTTGATTGCTTAAAGGACAGTCTTGATTCCCCCTGTTCAGGGAAACAAAGACAGCCAGAGAAGGTGGCTTAATGGAGACAGCTTGAAATGGCCAAAGTTTGAATATCCTTGCGCGCAGAGAAAAGAGCAAGACGAAAGCCCCGCTAATTACAAAAGTTGCTTTATGAAAGATAATTCAAAGCAATAATTTAGCAAACATAATCAAGTCGCACAGATGGGGTTGTTGATGGATGGATTGCAACATGCAATTAGCAGCTCTCGCAGTTACATATCATTAACCCTCCGAGCACAAAAATTATTTTCTCATTATTAGTTGAAAAGGTAAAATTAAGCTGACTAGACAGTAAAGGAACAAACTACAATTAATTACCTTCATTTATTACAGTCATTATTTTAAACTTATTTTTACTTGGAGAGCGAGATGAAAACATCTAAATTAAAAGTTTTGTTATGCTAAACCAGAGGTGAAACTTTTCTAAGGAGTGTGTGTGCTGGCCCAACCAGGAAGACAGCAGGGCCACTGCAAGGTGCAAGGTTTTTTTTTTCTCTCTGCTTCCTTCTTCTTCCACCAGGAAGGGAATGTGGCCTGTGAGATAGAAAACCCTTTGGCGGAGTCAGAACAGACACATTAACCAGGGCCTGATGGAAACACTGCCGTTTGAGACCCATGGGGGCTGCTGCTTCCTGTGACCCCCCAGGGTCTGACACCCAGGGCCTGAGTCCCACCCAAACACTGACAAACTTACGTGACATTGGCAGGTGCCTTCACGTCTCTGAGCCACTGTTTCCTCATGACAGCTCCTAGGATTGCGTGAGTTCAGTGAGATCCTCTGTCAGAGGCTGGCGAGTCATTGGTTCTCATCATGGAGGGGGGTGTTTGGTGGCAAGGAGCCAAGATATGCTCTCTCTGTCCTCTCAGGACCCAAGGGAGTTTGTGCGGCATGACCACCCTCTCAGAGCTTAGAGATGAGACCGAGGTACCACTTATAAGAGACATACTCATCATTGGTTGAATCCCTGCAATCACTTCTTCACTCAACAAACCTTTACGTAATCCCTATTGCATACCAGGTAGTGTTCTAGGTGCTGGACACAGTGAAGGTCCTGACTTGGCAATCAACTAGATGCTTCTTGATGTGGGGGAGGGCAAGTATTTGTGTCAGTCCCAGAAGGCCGCATTTCTAATGGGCGCCTCACAGGTCCACTTAACAGATACTCCTGGAACCTTTACTATGTGCCAGGCTGCAAGCGAAAGCTGTGGAAGGTCCAGAGATGGTGAGATACCATCGCTGCCCTTAAGGAATGTCACGAGGGGTTCATTCAGTCCCTGTGATCGAAATAATGCCCAGTCATGTCAAGAGCTCATGGGAGGCCTCTTGATTCCTCCCAGAGCTTCTGCTTCTTTGCTGAACCTCACACACTACCTCCCAGGCCCTGCATAACTGCATTCTGTCTGGCATTCCCCCACAAGAGATGGAGCTTGTGTTTCCATTCTTTGAATTCGCCTGATGGAGGTGACCCTCTGCCAGTAGCAGGTGGAGGCCTTCAGCAGACTGGCAGTGCTATCTCTTGCCTCTTCTAGCCCCACCTGTATGTAGGCCCTCAGGGATGAGACTCCATATGCAAGAGAAGATCTGGGAGCACCAAGGCCCCAGCACCAGTCAAGGAGCCATGTTGGCCATCCAGCCCAGTGGAGCCATCAGGCAATGCAGCTGTAGCAGCCACCTGGCTGTGATCGCCTGAGAGATGACAAGAGAACTGCCCAACTGAGCCCCATCAACCCATAAAAGCATGAGAGATAATAAGAAGTAATTGCTCTGGGCCACTCCATTTTGGGGCGGCTGGTTACACAGCAGTAGATCACCAGAATAGCCAGGATTCGCAGAGTGCCAAATTCTTTCCCCTCTTTCCCCTGATGC